ATTGATGGACTGATATGAGCAGGCCTTATATTTAAGTTGAATTTTAAATAGACTTGCTTACCATAAAGTATTCTCATCCAGGTAGGACTATAGTTTCAAACGCGCTTAGGTCTCATAAGCACTCCCAATGTTCGAGTCGAACCCAGGTAGTGTATGATATAGCCTATACACACTAGATCCTAATCCACACTGCCACGAGCGCCTTTTGGTAACAGATAGACTTAAATTTTAAGAAAATCAAGGCCTTTATTATATCGAATAAAAATGATTCGAGAAAGACATAGTTTCAGACTTCAAACACAGCTTTAGTTTGTGCATTTGGTCTTTTGGTAAATTATCCATGTAGCTTTACCATACCATAACAACACAAAATATTAATCTAGGGCTAAGTAATAGGTTTCAAAGATATGTAAAGGTATGAGGTCTTGAAGAGGTATGCAAGGCTAGGCCTTTATCATTCAGCTTACTTCATGTTCGGATGAAAGTGTGTGATGTAGGTAAATCAAATCAGAAGACCATTAACGTTCTGATTGAAGCTGTCCTAAATACTATCTTCTTTCAGTTCCTGTGGCAACGTTCTAAGCTTCTTATGCTATCTAGTCATCCTATTTTGCTTTGTGGTGAATGACTGATAGTAGTCACGTCTGCCCTGTGATTAAATGACACTCGTGACAGTGTGGCTTAGTGGTAAACGTGTTGAGACTTTACGCTGCACTACCCAGGTTTGAGTCTCAGTGGAGATGTTAATGAGACCTAGGAGGGGTCGAAACTGCAGTCCACACATGCTTGGATAAAATACCCTTTGGGAAGCAAGGCTGAGTGAAATTCAATGGACATATAAACGCTACTCATAGGATTATGGGAAAATTCAAATATCAATCCTTCCTAATTTTTAGTGAAACAGTGATCTATTGGTAGCCTCAGAATTTCTTATGAACAAAATAAAATGGGAGGAACTGAGGCTCGAGTCAGCACACGTAATGGAGTTTACTCTAAAGGTACTTTAAATTAGTATAACCCATGTACTACCGACCTCACAAATAAATGTGTTACTTGCAAGAAATGGAACACTTAGAAACATAAAAAAACCAATAATTCTTTAGTGCTATGATAATGCCATACACTTTTTAGATGTACATGCAATAAAGGCCCACCAAGGAAAGGACGAAATAAAAGTAGGGCAACCTTCTTGACGGAAAGACAGTTAAAGGCCCAGAGATAATCTTACTTTAAGTTATGCTAAGCTAGGTCAACTAGATCTTCATCGCACTGTTTTAAATACTAAATGAATGTAAAATTATTAGGAATGTTCAGATAGAAAAGCAAATTTGATGAATAAGCAAAACCTAAAATCAGACAGATGACATTTATCTTGTATTGGATGGTTCGAATATCTGATAAATCATTTCATTTTATACATTTGGAAATTAATCATATCATGGAGAAGCTGTGGCCCCTGAAGCCTGTGCCAATGCACTATGGAAACCAAGCATAAAATAATTTAAGATGTGAAGACCAAGAAGATGTCGCCTCTATTCTCAGTCTCCCTTCGATGTATAGAAATGATGATGCCGACTACGAGGTCGGCGAAACGTTTGAGAATGTACCAAGTCAACTGTCTGATGCTTGGAATCATGACAACTACTAGGGCCGACGACTTCGGACTAGATGTGTTCTACTAAGTCCAGCTGACAACAAGACCAAGTTGCGACAACGAGATAAACCCACTTCTATGAAATAATTAAGTTGAGGCAAACCTTGTCCACATGTGCAGTAAACTCTTCCAGATTGAGCACCGTCTGGCTGACTTCGGTCAGTTGGTCCGAGACTCTGAGTACACCCTCCAAAGTGCTGATAAGATCATCTTGTTGAGGATCCGTTAGTTGGGGCCAGCAACTGACGAACGCTGCATTAAAGAGAGTGCGTGTGATAACCGGTGTCAAACCAGTAAGGGGGCTGCAGGCACGAATAGCAGGACTTGGTGATTCGCGAATAAGAGCAGTTCCAAGCTGACGCAGCCACTGGCCCCAGTCCTCTCGACTAACGATACGTGTGCAACGCCAGGCCCTCTCAAGGGCATGACTGTTTAGACAATAAATTGAATGCAGCATAAGTAAAAATCGCATGAATAAGTTGGAAATTAGTGTAGAAACAAAGATAACAAAAAAGGGAAATAGCTTAATTGCAAGTATCTAAATAAGTGGGTACAAATGCTGTTTCCGAGCCAGATAAATTGTTTTAAACCTAAGTGAGGACTTAATTTAATTTATTCACAACATTCTCTATTCATAAACCGTGACATAGTTAAGATCAACCCAAATTTTGTTTCATTCAAGAAAACATTTTACTGGCGAAATTTTGGTATTTGATATTAAGTATGATCTTGGATTCACATGAATACTTTTTATAATAATGGCAATGATATCTGAAAAGAACATAATTTAAGGTCAATCAAAAAATCCTCATAGTATCATAGAAAGGGGCCAAAGTGAAATATTTGTTAATATTCATCCTTATCGCGTCAGCAGTAAGAAACAACCAACTACTTAAATGTTTAGCATCGAATGTGAGATCAAAAGCCATGGTTTGTCGGCTGAAAAGGCTGAGTAATATTCGCATAAACCAGTCTAATCAGAAGTTTTGATAAAATGAAAAAAAGACTGCATTAATTTTTATAGAATAGAATAGTCGCAGTCTCCTTTCACAGGTATGGTCTTGATTTGACCTCTTTTACCCAAATTTGTCATTTTCCTAGGAGAAATTTGAACTGAAAATTCAGAGAGTATCAGAAAATTGTTTCCGGTGACGCCTTCCTAGTACCTCTAGAGAAATTTCAACACTTGCACCGATTCTTTGAATAGCAGAAAAAGAAAAAAGGTACTTCATTAGTGCTCGAAGAATTACTCATTATTCTTTT